AACGGTGAACACTTGATGTACTCCGTAAACTGTGAAGTAACAGTGAACACCTGTTCTTCTTTATACCACCATTGAAGAACACTCAATACTCCGTAAACTGTGAAGTAACAGTGAACACTTGATATACTCCGTAAACTGTGAAGTAACAGTGAACACCTGTTCTTCTTTATACCACCATTGAAGAACACTTGATAATCCATAAACTGTGAAGTAACAGTGAACACCTGTTCTTCTTTATACCACCATTGAAGAACACTCAATACTCCGTAAACTGTGAAGTAACAGTGAACACCTGTTCTTTATACCACCATTGAAGAACACTCAATACTCCGTAAACTGTGAAGTAACAGTGAACACTTGATATACTCCGTAAACTGTGAAGTAACAGTGAACACCTGTTCTTCTTTATACCACCACTGAAGAAAATTATAGTTGTGTGTTTCCTGATGTGAGGCATAGATAAATCACATTTCACAAAACAAAGAAACCCCTACACTTTCTGATGGTAGACATATATAAATAACATTTCAAGAAACCTAGAAACCCTACACTTTCTGATGGTAGACATATATAAATGACATTTCAAGAAACACAGAAACCCTACACTTTCTGATGGTAGACATATATAAATGACATTTCAATAAACCTAGAACCCCTACACTTTCTGATGGTAGACATATATAAATAACATTTCAATAAACCTAGAACCCCTACACTTTCTGATGGTAGACATATATAAATAACATTTCAATAAACCTAGAACCCCTACACTTTCTGATGGTAGACATATATAAATGACATTTCAATAAACCTAGAACCCCTACACTTTCTGGTGGTAGACATATATAAATGACATTTCAATAAACCTAGAACCCCTACACTTTCTGATGGTAGACATATATAAATGACATTTCAATAAACCTAGAACCCCTACACTTTCTAATAATTGACTTTCCATTTACTAACTTAACATCTCAAGTGCTGTTGAATTTTTGTTTCTTCTCTCCAAAGAAGGATTTCTATCTTCTGAAATTACTTCAGTTGTAAGATAAGTTGTTTGAACTGATTTAAGTTGTTGTTTGTTTTTAGGTACTTCCACATGCCCTTGCTGGAAGAAGTGGTTACTTGGATTATGAAGATGAATCACTACAAGTTATAACCGTATTTTTTTGTATATATGAATATAAACTGTAAAAATCAACCCACTGTATTTCTCTGTACACTATAATACTGCCCTATATGTTTTAAGTGATTAAAACCGAGATGGCTTTATACACACTTCTTATGATTGTTGAAAATTAATTAATTAGTTTATTTACAATATCCTAAAACTTAATAAAAACGTATGATCGGCATTTGAGTCATTCCGGAATTTACCTGAAAGGCATTCTGGCATTTTTTGGAACTTTATTTGACCACGTTCGAACTTGCTCACATCAATAAATCGATAAAAATATCTAACATTTCATTCTGTTTCATGTGATTCAAGTTTCTAATTGTCGTTAGGCTTGGTAAACACAGATGTGAAATGAGTAAATATATAAATAAACAGGCTTATTCTTTTAAGTGAACTAACTTACACCTTACAGAGGCGTGTATACCAGTTTTGGGGGTTGATATCAATATATATATATATATATATTTTCAGCTCAATTTTTAAACGATAATTTTTTTCACTATCCGATAGGTGGAAACTGAAATAAGTTACTGTATATTTTGTTACTAAGGCTAACCATACCACGCTGTTTTTGGTTTTCAAGACGTGTCATTTTTCTTATAATACAAACAAGGTCATTAGAGTTGCTCGGTGTTAACAGTAACATTATATGTTGTTTAATTCACCACGTGCATTGAAGTCTTGCACTTGGTAACAAAAAACTTCAAGTCTTAAATTTCGTTGTTGTTTTTTTTCAAGTTAGAAACACAGGTGTAATGGGATTCTTTCGTACGCTTAAAGTTACAGGAAATAGTTAACAAATTAAGGCACGTTAACAAATAACCTGACTACCTTAACATTAACAGTCAAATCATAAAGTCTTGTTTTTGAAAATATTGTTCGTTCTTACAACTTGTAAAAATACGACTTCACAATGTGATTAATAAATTAATTTCAAATAGAAAATCTATATTTTATTCCCTCTTTGTCAGCGTGTATTATAACACTGCACTTAATAAATGTCTTGGGTTTTCTGATACACAGAAATTAAACTTAATGTAGAATATGCATGTATTGTTGATATTTATGAATACACGTTAAATCAGGGTTAATTAATAATACGCGAGGGGAATGTAGTGTAGATATTCACGAGGAAGACACGTGATGACCGTATTTTTCATGATTATGTAGCAGGATTTTACATCAGACTGATGAATAGAATACGTGGGAATGTTCCGTTTTTTGAAGGAAAGCTGACATTCTCAGATTTGAATGAAAAAATAAAGGCCGAGATTGTCAAGGAGATTTCATAACGTGTGTACTGTTTTTTATGTATTGTAAAAATTAAATAACTTATCGGTTTGGTAAAGAAATTCTTAAGCCTATTTCAGTTACACCGAAAGAAATATACAACTGGCTAAAGACCGACTCTATACATAATTTAAATAAGCGTGAACGAACGGTGATTTTGGTTATTAAAAATGCTTAAACTGAATAACTAGCAAAATAAAGCAGTCAATTATGGTCTTTAATGTTTAGAATAAAAATCATCCGATATACTCTCCTCCTGATAGGAATTTAGGTCTTTGTGACCTAGGAGGGTCAGGTGCTCTGGGACCTCTTCCTCCTTTCCGGACAGTGGTATGTCGTCTGTGAATGTAGAGTGTTGGTACTACAAGAGGGTCGGAGTAAACCGCACTTGCTCCGTCCCCTTTCAGTGCTCCGATATACTGTTTTTATAATGGGCGCAAGTGTCATCTTGGCGCCTAGCAGTAACTGTTTGTCGATTAGTTACTGAAGTGACACATAGTTTACATGATTGGTCGTTGAGCAACACACAGCCCACTATTTATTGGTTGCTATGGTGACATACAATCTATTGCTTATTTAGGTGGGAGATGGGGACGTTACATACATATATAAACCATATCAACACACGCATATACATCATATGCGTATAAATACAATGCTTTACAATCACCAGAATGATCGAGGTGACACGCATAGAGGGCTACATATCCCCCCTCCCTTGTACTCGCCCTGTTTACCCCGGAAAACTGTTCACTTCCTGTGTATGAGGGTAGAGAAAACAAAATCAGTTCGTTCGCTTATCTGGTAATATTATACTAGATTTACAAAAATTATATTTACTCATTCACGTTATATTGAATTTTTGCAGTTTTTATTCACACAACCATTTAACAAAAAGCTGAATAGAATTTATTTTTAGCTGCAAAATAAATAAAAAGGTACATTTACGTAAGTTAGTAGATGTAGTTAGTCGTGTTCTTATAATTCTGTGAACCAATAAACGCCAATTTTATAATGCGGCTTATTTCTGAACTATCGTTCGTTAACATCATGTAATAACCTGCGATAGCGGCGCCACTGTGATTATGATATATAACTTGCAGATACACGTGTACATAAGTGTAAACAATGGAGAGTACATAAATATAAACAATGAAATTTTGACTCGGACGAGTCACGCTAGAGAAATGAGGTTGTCCTACTTTCAAATTACAGAAGCACAAAACTTAGTCCCATTTTTGGTTAGCGATAAGAAGAAAAAAAAAAGACATAACATATGTATTTGACCTGCATTTAATAGCCTATGTTTTTGACAATTTTAGCATTCTTTGACGGCAATATTTTAGTATGTAGTCCTGTATACGATATAATAAAATATAAGACTTAGATGTATATAACTTGGTCTTATAAAAGTTCAGTGATCTCTACGCCGTGTAAGTTTTATTTCACCGCGTAGTATGGTGAACATTCAAAATAACTGACTGAAGTTTACAGAAATAAGGGCGAAGTTATGTATATTTTTAATCGCTTAGGCTTTGATTTAATCTATTATGCTATCTTTGTAAAGTGTCACAATTTATTGGTACGTACTTTTTCTCGAGTCTGCTTTTTACATTAACTAGATTCTCACCTTTGCAATATGGTGGCGCTAGGGTCGACTAGTAAACAAGAACCTTCGTTACGAGCTTGGCGGAAACTTGAGTTTTGAAGTGAGAGCGGTGAATAGTGTTTATAGTATTATGTCATATGTTTTAATAATATCGTATCGTTACACTATTTGATAAAAAATGTATTTCATCGAAGTATTTTGGATAGTATATACAGTTATAGTGATAGGTGAGTAAACCTTTTGTATTTTTTGTGTCTCTCTGTGTAATTGTTTTAAATTAGAATTTTCTATCTAAGTTGAACTTTCAGCGTTTAAAACTAGACGGTTCGCTTTATTTCCTGCTGTGCTCAGGTATTTATACAAAATCAAAGATTTGGTACTTTGAATAATTGTACAAATAAGGAAAGTAATTACTGATGCAACTTCTGGAGAATATAAAAAAATTAACCGTATGGTAACTCTTTATGTAGTTTTCTTTGTGGGTTGACGTGAGATTATACAAATATTAACATCGTCTGCCCGCAGGCCGAGCCACTCTGCAGTGTATTATGTAGCTTGGTCTACGTAGGGGAGCGTAGTTAAAGAGATCGTTTACACGATTTTTTTTTTTTGCTTACTGTTCAAACTCAGTGTGGGGGTAAGTTATCTTAGTAGTGGTATTTACACCATATGTTAATCTACGTATGAGTATATGTTTTAAAATGCATTATCATTTAAGCAACTTATTGATCAAAAATTTTATGTAAAATATAAATTTAGCTGATTGTGCCAAATAAAAGTAGACAATTTTTTGAATGGAATGAGCTTGTAGTACGATGGTAATGGCAAGTAGAAATTATGTGTAATTAACGTTATAACAATTTAAATCGTAATTTGATCTAAGCAGTATTAAGTACTTTCAAGTACTGATACTATATAGAACCAGAATATACTACCTTGATATTATCTGATTGATATCAACTATTACTAATAACAGTTCATTACTAGTTCGATGACGAGGAACCCACTTTGAGACTAATAATGGCTGAAGACGGCTTAAATGGGTAATGAAGAAAAACTTTAATATAAGTTTAACATAACATTTAAGCCGTCTCCAGCCATTATTAGTTCATTACTAGCTTTTTTTTATTGTGTCAGTAGTTTTATGTATTTAAAAGTAAGCGACTTAAAGGTCACCACGAGTCACTGCTTTATTTAAGTTCTGGCCGACTTAAGGCTCGTGTTATATAAAAAATGTGTTGGTTATAACCTATGTTTTTTATTGTTTTAAACAAATAAATCACTTCTAATGGAAACGACTGACCTCAACACTTACTTGTATGGTCGACTTGCATATGTTTATCGAGGGCTGGCTATAATCAATTAATGGTAAGATTTATTTTTCAATGCCAATTGTTTGAAAATAAAACCACATTGGAGAATTGTGGTTTGGTGCACAAGATCACAAATATTTACTATTTTATAAGAAATAGATAAATGAATTCATGAAAACTTTCAGTAAATCAATGTTTTGTTGCTTGTGTGATAATTGTAACAATAAGATCTAAAAAGTAACTATACACATTTCCATTGAATGGTTTATATTCAATAACAATGAACATTGCTATAGTTTTATTTTTTACTTACAAATGTTAAATTTAAAGCGTAGGGCACAATCTTATAGCAGAATATATTCACTGTACAGTTAGGGCCGAATTAACTTTGAGAGGGGGCCCGGGGCTTTTAAATTTTGTGTGGACTGTCTCTGTATATTCGGTTTCTTCTTTTATTGACTTACCAACCAACCTCCTTGCTCACTTTTAAACACTAGTTTAATTTCAAATTGAATTTTTTTTTCATATTATATAAAAATATTCATTTGACGTGCACATAGCAATTAAGTTGTTATTATTTATTCGTTGGAATACGCCTTCATACCAAGCGATTTATATGACTTCCGAACATCAAAATGTATTGTTCTACATACACAACATTACAGCAATCCGGCTATGTAATGTAGATACTAGGCTTAAGAGATATCTTACAATTATACTTGTAATAAGGCATTGATAGTAGGCCTATTATATTTATAAACACTACACTATTTATCTTTTCCCATAGAGATTTTCAATAATTATAAGAGTATTTGGAACATAAAGGACTTTATAAATTCATTAGCCTAAAAAAGTCACTCGTGTAATCATTGCCAGTTTGTGGGTAATA